CGGTACCGAAAATACTGTTGATGCTAGTCTAATATGCAAATAGATACATCAGAGCACTTCTGGAAATCGGCGCTCTCTGGATGACTGCATTTCTCTGACCACCATCATCTCACCTCTCCTCATTCATGCCTTTATTACGGTACTTTATTCTTACGCCCCCTCATGATTTATACCAGTGATTGGGTTGCACGGAGTATACCGAGTAGAATTCCGTTACAGAAGAGGAATTGTTACGAAGAGAAACATATATATGGCTGAACACTAATTGCCCAATTCGCTATGAAACACCGATGCACTCGAAGGTAAGCAAGCACCTCTAATTGATTGATGAAGGTAGACGACGATGCTAGCGACGACGACAGCTTTTCGAACATCATCCACCGAACACCCGACCTGCCTTTTCATGTTCTTCGGGGAGAGTAGCCAAATACAGCTGTCTCCATAGGAATCTACAATTGGTTTGGCGCTTTGCTGCATGTGTGTTTATGCTACCCAAGCGAACAAGGTTGAACTAATTTATATAGGATAGCCGTTGAGCCGTTAAGAGACAAGACTCAAAAGTCCCTGGAACTGGAGTAGATCCGTAGCTCATCCTATTTTGATCGATAGCCAATCCCCGGGATGCTGTAAAAAAGAATTCATGTTACGTTCTATCCCAACTCGTTAGATTGTGCAGTAGTACTGGTGAAGTGACGAGGTAAGGAGTGAAAATGAAAAATAAAACAGGCATTGAGTAGTATAGATTGGTAACAATGATTTGCAAAAGAAAAGATGAGATCTTTTTTGAATAGAAACATTCAGGGCGGTTGGTTGGGTTGGTTAGTTGAAGGAATACCCGGTAGTTTCTTGGATCTCCATTGCACTCTCTCTACCTCTTAAGCCTCTCTACTCTCTACTCTCTACTCTGCACTCATCCATTCCATTCCCAATTTCCCATACCTACCTTGGTAAATCCAATCGGTCTAGTCCGGTCACTACACTTTTCAATCCTCCTCGCTCTCGCTCTCGCCCGTTGTTTGTTTGTTTGTTTGTTTGTTTTTCCCTTTCGGCTACCATTTATGATAATGCTCATGAGAGTATTTTATTGAACCACTCCACATAACCTTCTCTTCCTGTCTCTTTCGTTTCCTCCTCCTTGCTCTCTCTCCCTCCAAAAACAAAGGTCCAACTGTCTTTTACCAGGATTAAATATAAACTCTTGTCGTACGCGCATCGACCCCAATATTGTATTCCCTTGCAGCTTTTTAACGTGTATGCCATCCAATCCCATTTCGATTTAAGGGCATCAAATCTTCCTTTTGAAACCTTCTCTTATCACCATTACCATCTCTTCTTCCACCATCAATTCATTCCCTTTTTATCGTCAAGGGAAAAGCCTAACATTGTTTGTGCTTGTGGTTATCAGAATTTACTTATAATATACCGACGTTGATATATCTTTGGATTAAAAAAGATTATTTGAAACAACACAAAGGATTATTAAATATCCTTTTCCCCTCTTTCCACCAAATCCCTCCCAAGAACCCTCAATTTACTCTTTTATCGACCCACACTTCGTGACGATAAGCTTTGAAACGGAAACGAGTCTCGGTTTGAATACCTGCAGATTATTTACGAGTACTCTACCCAACATTGGAAACTGGAACTGGAAGTTGGAACAAATTGCCTCAGCATCCTTACGAGAGTTGTCACCAAATTCCTTTTACATAACAAATCTTCATCTACCTACTACCGGCATTCATTCAATTTATCCAACATCCAACCTAGCCCACTTTCCAAGAATCGAGATCAGTCACAAGACGGAACTCGGAACCTTTTCGACCATATAAAAGCATTTCCTTGTTTGCAGCAACGGTCTCTTGCAGCGGTGGACTGCATGTCGATGCAAGATCAGTGCAATAATATAAAGAACACCGGCAACGGTGTGACCCGACATTCGGAACTTAAGACAACGGCAACGACTTCGAATCCTGCCGTATCCGTTTCATTTTTACGCCGCAACCTTTCGACTATTCTGAGTGTAATATGAGTAGACAATACGAAGATCACACTACCGATTCGAAGACCTCGAGCAATCTATCCCTCAACCCATTACCCAACATGTCTTCTCCAGCTCCACTACTACGTCCCCCAATTCCAGGTAGTCGACAAAATGGCGGCGCAAGAACACCTAGGTTGGGCCTGGCCATACCACCTTCTCCTAATGCTAAGCCCGTCAATGCTCCTGCAACAAAAGGTCTCACACTTCAAATGCCTGGCTCGATGCCTGCGCGACCGGCATTACCTCGATTGCAACTAGCCACGCCCATGGGAAGTAATGCTACACCATATGAACAATCTGGAAGGGGTGCAGCTGCACCAGGACAATCTGCAAGTGGAGGAAGCGAAAGTAGTGCGGCACATTCAAGATCAGGTAGCTTTGGGCCGATGGATGGGAAGGGAAGCGGCCCAACATCTGCAGGTTCTCAGTATTCTGCATTCTCATTAGCATCGCAATATGGTTTGAGCAAGCCGCAAGGCACACCCGACCCGTCATCAGCTGTAGGCTCATTATACTCGGAAAGGAGCGAAGGAGGTGTAGGCATGGAGCGGGATGGTAGCATGAATGGACTTGAAGCATTTGACAAACTCAGCTTAGAAAAAGGGAGAACATTAGACGTCGAAGATTTAGACGATGATGGATGGCGGATAGCAAGTATGGAGAAGAGGATTGAGGAACTTGGAAGCTTGGGAGAGGGAGCAGGAGGTGCAGTGACACGATGTATGCTGAAAGGTGGAAAGACCGTCTTCGCGTTAAAGGTAATTTTTTACTTCTCACAACATCCTCTACGCCGCTTACTGATTCTATTAGATTATTACCACAAATCCTGATCCTGATGTTAAAAAACAAATCGTCCGTGAATTAGGTTTCAACAAGGGTTGTGCTAACGAACACATCTGTCGTTACTACGGAGCTTTCGTAGAACCATCGACGGCTACCATTTCCATTGCTATGGAATTTTGCGAAGGTGGTTCTCTCGACTCGATCTATCGTGAAGTAAAGAAACTTGGTGGTCGCACTGGTGAGAAGGTCCTCGGAAAGGTTGCCGAAGGTGTCCTGAACGGTCTAACCTACCTTCATGGGAAGAAGATCATTCACCGAGATATCAAACCTTCCAATATTCTCCTGTGTCGCGATGGTCAAGTAAAGCTCTGCGATTTTGGTGTAAGTGGTGAGTTTGGTACAAAGGGTGACGCAAATACGTTCATTGGCACATCTTACTACATGGCACCTGAACGTATCACTGGTCAATCATACACCATCACTTCCGATGTCTGGTCAACCGGTGTAACACTTTTGGAAGTAGCTCAACATCGCTTCCCATTTCCAGCAGATGGATCAGAAATGCAACCTCGTGCTGGATTGATCGACCTTCTAACATACATTGTTCGACAACCTATTCCAAAATTGAAAGACGAACCCGATGCCGGCATCAAATGGAGTGACAGCTTCAAATACTTTATCGAGTGTTGGTATGTTCAGTCTTAGTTCATTTGAGTGAAAAAAAGTTATACTAACTTCAAATTAGTCTCGAGAAAGACCCTACTCGTCGTGCCTCACCTTGGCGAATGTTAGAGCATCCATGGATGGTCGAGATGCGGGGCAAACGTGTGAACATGGCACACTTCTTAGCCACCGTATGGGGCTGGTGATCTAACTTCATGAATCATTCTACGACGTTGTTATCCCAAAGTCTATCCGATATCAGAGGATGGAAGAGCAAACCAATGTAGACCAAATCTACTTGGCGACGAAAAAGAAGCTAAATCACACCTTGATGATATATTACACACGACCTTGAGCCCTGACGATTCGAGACGATTACGTTATTATATGAAATTCTACCAGATATGAAAAAGATTTACTCCCGAATTTTACCATCATACCATCTACCTATACTTTCCCTTTGTATCAACGACCTCTCTTCACCTCGCAATTCACAATCATCTGCATTTGCCGGCGTCGCCATGTTTTTCTTCCTCTTAAATCGGGTTCGGCGAAGCGGCTTCTTTTTTGGGTATAGGAGAAATGGTTTTGGGGGGCATCAAGAGTGAGCGAAATTGAGCGGTTGAAGGGGATGCGATTTGCGTATGCGAATGAGTAGCGACTGTTGAAGGCTTCTCGTTCCAATTGTACTACTTACATATCCTTAGCTATCTACCTACCAAACATTCTATCTATACATTTATCTATATCTGAATCCCTTATGGCATGACATTATATGCTTGAGTTTTATCATGGCGATACTGAAATTGAAAAGCAGATTATTGGCTGGGTAATCGAGTAGCAATTGAATTTATTAACTTTTCATTAGGTCTCTGTTTTGTATGCCTGGATATGTGATGTAGATTCGTTTTAAAATAAAATGAGCGCATACTTACAATCTCCCCCTCCAAATCAAGGGTTCTTCGGGACTAGAAAGGGCCTCGCTAGTAAGGTTGTCCCCCCTCCCTTCCCCTTTGATCACTTTCTATATCATGTCTTAGCTTCAATAGAATATGATATAATAGGTATCATAGTATAACTTACAACAACAACCTAGATTATGATTCACTATACATCACCTTATTGGCAATCTCATGATTCTCGTCACCACCAACATCACTTTTATAGCCATCTTGAGGTCATATCAAGGGCACAGAATGCGCTTCTGAAGGTTCGCTCTGTGATGGTACATTCGCAAGTTTCAACAAAAGAAGCCTTGTTTCATACTCAACCCGAATATAACTATATATTCAATTCTCCATGTATGACGAATGAAATCAGTCCTTAATCGACACTTGCTCGACATGTAGATCCATTATTCCACTATGATTGGCTGGCTTCAAAAATGCCGATGTTGAATAATCCTTGAACACATCCGAATCAGAGGGGTCTACAACCTAACAAACGGAGATATGAACCTCACTATCAGCAAGAAGATACACCACATCGTACTTATTCCCTATATCAATTCATCATGTCACAAATCGATCTGATAGCAATCATCTTTCCCAAGGAGGGAAAAGCAGATAGAGTGAGCGTTGACTTCCCCGACATGTGTTCTGGTGACGACTAACCCCTAAATCTCACTATGTTGCAGAACTCCTGAACGAAATCTCTACACATACCAAGGCAACTGAACCTGTGACAAAGAAGTATGAGATTAAGAAAGCAGTCAACAAAAAGACAGGGGCTGTAGAAATCCTTATGTTTGAGAGGGGAGTTTGACATCGTTGACGTCATCTGATATATATGGATTATATGAAACTGATGAATGAGTTCATCGTTAGAAAGATAAGGCTGCAATTGCAGCCCATGGATCTTCGGAAGAATTCAAAGCTTTGGGCAAGAAGTTGAAGGATGAGGATCTGATTGCGAAGCCCATGGAATTGAAGGTTTTGAAGCATGTTGGGGGATTCTCGTCGAGGTTGTGAACGCGAAGAGTTGCGGTTTGAGAGGCTTTGGTGGTCGGATCTAAATTCTATGAGGGATATGGAGATGATACAATTGAGTCAGAATATCGGTTAATGGATTCAATCGAGGTAGAGATGTGAGTGTCACACGTGACGGAGTAGTACCTCGTCATGGAACTTTCAAGGGAGATTTGGATGAGAATGTAAAGCAAGAGAATATGTCACTTTTGGTCTTATTTTTCCCTTCGTTGCCATAAGCCTTCATGCTGCATTTCAAATACAGCTTTTGTTTGCCATTGATCGTCAGAAGAATTGGAGGATTGTGGAATCTGAGGTCTTATTTACCAACCTACTTCGATCTGGCCACCAGTTGTGACTTCCCTTTTCGTTTTCATATTCATCATCACAATCTTGATCACCGGACAACCTTACTTTCCAGATTCTTCTAAATCAACATCTTTCACTGAGTTGTTTTCTTTCTCTAATACATCATACTCATTGAGCCTTTTTCCTTTCTTCTTCTTCCTCCACTAACTCATCAAATCTCGCAATCATGGAGCATGAATGTGAACAACAACATTTCTCTCCCTTGGTTTTTACCTCTCCCACGGGAAAGTATTCCAGGTGGAAATTGATACTATTGCACAATTGTCACCAAAGCACGGCAAATCCAACAGTGTGGTATCAATCATTGAGCTGAGAGCTTCATCTCCATCTCCAAAATTGTCTGGCCTCGGCGGTTTTGATGGCCATGGATCCGAGACTCCACAGCTTTCAAAGTTTGTTCCCAGCCCGAAAGTCCAACTGGAATGTATGATGGCAATATCAAAGCATAGTTGATACACGCCGACACTGATACGAATTGAAGGTGCACTTAATCCAAGACACATCATGCTGACAAGAATTTTTAGAGCCCTGCCTTCACACCAGCGGAAACGTTCCTCGTGCGGAGGCTCTCCACTTATTTCCATCACGACTTCTACACAGTCGTGTGAGAAAATGGAAAATTCGGGCATGAAATCATCGTCATCTCACAAGAGGCAACCGGAAAATTCGTTGTGTGATGATTTCCAGGAGGGTGAGGAGTTCGATGTTTGCAAAGCTTACATGGTTTACAATGAATATGGTGAACTGGTTGATGCTCATAGCCATCTTCAAACCAAAAACACCCAAGATTTGTCAGTCACAGAAATATTGAGATTGATCAAAAAAGCATACCACCACGACGTTAGTTCTTCCCGTCATCCTAGGATGTCATGAGACTTGCAGTCCACAGTGCTAGAGTGGGTTTGGAACTTCATGCTGACTTTACATTCAATAGTTCAGAGCGAGAATGAACGATATCGAACAGATCAAGGGCCAAAGCTCATTAAGCTCAGAAAAAGACAACTTAACATCTGAGGAAAAATTGTCATATTGGGAATACAACCCGAGTACATCGACGAAGACTACACCGGTCAGTGGGGATCTACAGTGTCGGTCTGTTCCTGTATACCAAGGACCACCTCGGGTTTTGGAGGTATGTCTTCTCTACTACACGATGAAATCGTGCTAATTAAGATAGATTGGGTGTAGCGACGGGAGTTGGTGTTTCAAAGTTAAGGAAGACCAACCAGATTGGACTGTGGAGGGAATCGATGAGACAGACCACTGGTCTTGTGTGCAAAGAGACATTCAGATTAAGTATGATGATTGTCCTCGTCTGAAACTGCCGTGCTAATTAAGCCATAGGGATTTCATTGTTCCGACTCCCGAGATGGACATGTCCGATTATTTCAGCCGTGTCAATTCTTCACAAACCCAAACCGCCCCTGCTTTTAATGTTCGAAACCTCAATTGCCTACTAGCGCATTCAGATCCAATTCCGCATAACCTATACTCCTTTATCCGTGGAAGAGATGTCTTCGACAGAGTTGAGAGTTACAAGAGCTTTTTAGATGATGTTCGCTTGTGAGTAGGTCCCCAAGATTTACTAGGACTACGGCTAACGGCGAATAGAATTCTCCAACCTGGTGGAGTTGTGGAGTTTTTGGAAGTTGACCCTAGACCAAGATCAAAATTGGCAGGTCATACTACTGTGAATCGTGAAGAATATCATCAGAGCGCACCCCAAACTGATTGGACTGATAATATTGCCGATCGTCTTAGGCGGCCATCTTACGATAGCGAACTTGCAGATACAGTACCCGGTTGGATGGAAAGAGTTATGGAACGCCATAAAGCAATATTGCGTCCACGCGATGGAATTCCTGCGGTCAATCTAAAGTCTTGGTTAGAGGGGGCGGGGTAAGCTAATGAATAGGCACTCTGTCTCGTCATATAAAGAACTAACGTTACATAGATTCTGGGATGTTAAAGAGATTGTTCATCGGCTACCCGTAGGAGGGTCTACAACTACCGGTCAGCGTCTAAACGACTTCATCCTGTACCAGATTGAGCTCGAGAACGATATACCTCAGGTATTCTTTTCCCAGTCATTTTGAATTTCTCGGCTAACTGAATATAGCTTCGTGAGAGGTTGCTACCTGTCGAGGTTGAGGAGATTGAGAGTGGCAATTACTGCCTCGCCTTGCACATCGTAACGGCGCGTAAGCCGCGCTGCCCCCGAGCTGGCGATCTTCTCATGAATGGCACCAGAGAGGAAATGACGGATATGAAATATGATCAGATGGCTAGAGTCAATGAATTGCCAGTGAAGAATCAAGCAGGATGGAAAAGGTTATTCCAGTACAGAAGTAACCTCTTATCTTACACCTTCTGACCTGTTTATGTCTTGATAGATTCGATCTCGGTCGCATTTCCGAAATGATGACATCATTCGATGAACATCACCCAGGAAATATCTCACTCTCATCCCCACTCTCTCAACTAAGGGATGGAGCTTGATATATGCTGGAGTTTAGGCGAAGTTTCGAAGATGTAGGTATAGAGGATGAGGAATAATATGGCTAAATTCAGTGTATGGCTTATCTCAATGGCTAGATTTCATAAACTATGAGCATCATAATGTAGGGAATTTGCTTCCATGACAAACAATTGCAATCAGACATTGGCAAAGTATAGCTCTTAGCCGTTGGCCATTCAATGAAAGAACTGCTTGTTTCAATTAAAGATCAGCCACCAACCATAGACGCCTTAAATCGCAGTTCAATTACTGATTTTTCTGATATATCAATTGGGAGTTTATAGAAAGAATACGCAAACCCCTAGGAAACAAACAGTAACCACCTAGTACTTTTCGGGGCCGGATCAAGCCCCTACATCTCAACGACATTAAGAAACAACAGCATAGATCCCCTCGATATATAGGGAAATTGCCGTTCTCGTTCTGAAAAAACTTGTTTGACAGCAAGAAGGAGCTTACCGCTTAAGCGAATGGTCTACGCGGTATTTGGTAACAAAGCATCACAATTTTCGTGAAATACACTAGGAAAGCTTGGTTTGACAACAACTTATTGTTATTTTCTTGGGCGAGAAAGAAATTATCAGGTATTGTCCGGCGAAGGAGATGGCATGTAATTGGCGCTCTAGATTGATCAGATATGAAGAATGAACAGATGCGCGTGTAACATTTCTTTGCTAGTGATAATTTGAGAGTTTCGTCGCACGTGTGCAGTGATGAGTTGTGCTACTTCTTCTTCGGTAGGTTGGATCTATTGCATTCCTATGGTAGCCGTCCGGGCTGATACGATCTAGCTGTATCCTCGAGTCGATTGATGTTTGATGTGCCTGTGAGCAATGGTCGGAATTACCCTCTAAATACAGAGAAAGTTCTAGAAAACTTGGAGACTAATCTTTCCTGGTACATTTGGGGGATCAAAATTTCAATTACTGGTTGATTAACTTAATAATTCCAATCTAAGGTGGGCGACTGTAGCTTCCAATAGGTTCGGAGAATTTGGCAAACTTGAACTGATTCACCGTGATGGTCTTCTTCATAAATTAAAACGTAACATTTGCAGGTTGACAATATAAAAGGTGCAACAAAGAAACAAAGATATCCCACGTGGGTTCTTGCAGGAGAAACTGACGGAGATATCCACGCCACGACGTAACAATCATGATATCAAGTCTCTTGTCATTGGTTCTAATGTGCTACTGCTTGTTCGGTTGGGGTGATAATGTGGAGATATCCTGCTGATAAAAGGGGAAGGGGTTCTACTTGGAACAACCTTTGGAAATCTGGGTTTCACCGTTTCAAGACTCAGAATTTCTTATTCTACGTGTATACTCCGTACAAAGAAGAGTTCTGGAGATAAACAGGGAGGAATCATCCTTTGGTCCTTACATTGAACGTAGAAGTGATATGCCTGCTCATGATATTATCATCCAGCTGACGGAAAAAATCGAATCATACATAAATCTCGACACCAATCTCTTCAGTTGCTCCTCCCTTTCGATATCCCAACAACACAAAGATTGAATGGTCAATTAACACATTTTGGAAAGAAATATGTTTACTCAATGGCGATTCAAATGCGGAAGAAAATGCGAACCCCGGTATTGTATCCGAGGATCTATTCAGTTGAACATCGTGTCTACCTACATGACTTACCGCACTGATTAAAATCTCAAGAGGAAGTGACTGTTATCTGAACCTGCCTATCATGGATTCACATACTGTTTATTCGCCATTTCTGAGGAGTTGCGATCATGCGGGTCACATCGAAAAACTTGTTTGTCGTAAGGACTCCAAGATAGACTCGATCGATATCTGTCAATACTGTAACGCTTTCCACATGTCATCTAAGGAGTGCGGAAACATACCAATTAAGATGAGTGAAACACTCTCAGATTATACGGTGCCCACGTTGCCCACGTTGCCGAAGATACCGAGATATCTGGATACGATACAGGAAATCGATACTGAAAGTTCGATGACGGTGTCGCAGACCTTGGCTTTTGATGGCTTAGATGGTACTCGGGAAAAAGATGACCAAGCTTATGGTTTTGTTCAGCTTCCGAATTCAGAAAAGAAGATTTCATCGAGACAAGTTCCACCAAGAACTCATGATCATATG